GATAAAGGCTACAAAATGCAAAAAAAAAACATTGTAATGTCACAAAAACTTTTTTTTAAATCGAAAAAGTGTGAAAAATGCGGTCGTTTTTCGCTGGGTTTCGGTAAAAATATCATATTTTGTTTTTTTTTAATTTAGAGCATCTGGATACACGATTAAGTAAGTTTTATTTTTTGATTATGTGACAGGCAGATTTGGATAACGTATGAAGATTGAAAAGGCTAAGGCGGGAGCTACGCTTAATACAGTTATTATTATTAGTATTTTCATTAAAATTATTTTTATGAGTCCGGCTATTGATTATTATTATGTTTTTATTATATTTTTACTTATCAATCTAGATAAGGAAAAAGTATAGATTCAGTCATTAATAAAAGATTCATTGTTGCGAAGTAAATGTATCTATTAATTGCTAAGGTGAAATATCAATACTTTCTCTTTCTGTACTAGCGGGACAGAAATACTATTTCCCACATGCATAGCATGACTAGAAGAGATCTCTTTTAGAGATAAGCTCAGTTTTGTTCACGTCATTTTCTATGTCATATTATTAAATAATTGTTTTAACAAAAATCGGTGTAATATTATTGTGAAAGTTTGTTGGGTGAAGCTGAGAAATCTATACTAACTTTAAAACGTAGGGACGAACGAGAGCGGAGCGAGGGTGAGTCGCTAGTTTTAAATAATACTATTTTTTGTAGATTTTTTGGTTTTTGGTTTCCGACGTTTCGAATGCTTTAGAGTAATCATGATCACGGGAAAGACTAAGGTTAAGACGTCTCATAGTTCGTGCAATTGTTACAGACAGTGCCTACCGACAAACATTTCACAATGATTTCAAAAATACAAATATGGCACTAAATCATCTTAAAATATTTGTTACTTTCAATTTTAAACAAGTCACAGAATAAATCCGCGAAAAAATCCGAAAAGATAGTTTTATTTAAAATGTCAAACATTTGCGTATATCTAACAATGTATTTTGTTAGGTATATTATAAATGTGGTTTATGTACAATAAAAGCCCCTACGGCTTTTATTGTAACTATGTATACCGTTAGAGTCTTGTTCCGTGACTCATGTCCCACTCCCATAAGCCGTACATGTGACAAAAAATAAAACGTTTTATTTGAAATAACAAAAATAGTTGTAATCACTCTTATATGGATATTGTACGACATACGTGCTTGAATTTAAAATAAGAAATAAGAATCTGAATAAGAATTTATATAAATAAAAATGAATCACCGAAATGTATGGAAGCGCATAACTTCCGATCGACTGCACCAAATTGGATAATTCTTTTTTTTTGTGTTTGTTGTTGTTAGGAAGTTTTGTAAAGAAGGAAATTAAAAGTTTTTAAATGATATGAAAAGTGAGTAAGTGAAATAGTTTTTATCCCGGAAATCATCCCTTAAGGGGGTGGGAATGAGAATGAAAGTTTGTATGGGGAAGCCAACTAGGGACGAACCAGAGCGAAGCGACGGTGAGTCGCTAGTTTAGAATAATAATTAAGAATAAGAAAGATAGATTCACTGTAGTTTAATAAAAACTTAAAAGAATAGGTTTTTGACCTGTATTTAAGTAATGTTCCACATAAATGTCTAAATGTACAGGCATTTAATTTTTTCACAAAATCTATACTGCATCACCTTTGAGGTACTATATACATTTGAGTTGAGCAAAAACAAAATTGGTTTTTTTTTCTTAGCTTGGGGGTAGAATTTAATATATATTTTTTTAAATAAAAAAAATTGTACTTAACATTTTTAAGGTGGCCCACAATTTTTTTTTAATAATTAAATTAAATTTTTGGTTTGAATGGAATTTTTTTTGACTGATCATCTTTGAAAATATTTGAGAATTGACGAATATAGTAATTTTTTACCCAAATTTGGAGACGGATATAGGCTACCTTTGATCCACGCCCCGCTTACCACGTAAGCGAAGTCACGGACAAAACCAAGTACTTATAGATGTAAATTGATGTTATATGGCGATAAACTGTAAGCATCTAACAATTTGATCTTCTATGATTTTACTTGGAGAAATGCATGTTTGCGTAAATCATTTGGATACAATTTCTAGATGTAATGCTCAATTTCTAACAACACCGTAATTACTCGAATATGATTTTAACTGTTTAAACACATTGTAACGGCTTTACGTTGACTACGATTTACAGATCTCAAATATTTCATATTTAAGTTATGTTTATTACTTAGCTTTCCCTAGTTGCTTCATTCGTATATATGTAGATAAAACTAGCGACTCACCCTCACTCCACTCGGGTGCGTCCCTACTAACGTTTTAAAATTTAGTATAGATTTCTCAGAGATGAGATATTTTCCCGCAGTAAAAAGTATCCTATATGTTGACTCGGATAACCAGCTACCATCATACCAAATTTCTTTAAATTCTCTCCAGTGGGTTTTTCGTGATGCTGTCACAGACAGACAGACAAATATTCTTAAACTGTAGATTCGGCCTCTGTATTCGGAAATATTTTACCGATTATCGAAATTCATTCACATTAAAAAGTTACACGATTTCTAAGTAATATAGAGGTATAGACTATTTGTATACATATAATTAAATTCTGAGTCAAATCTGTACATTAAATATTTTTTGGAAAATCTTACTGAAATAGACATTATTATCGATACAGAGGCCGAATCTATAGTTCCTAGAATTTTTGTTTGTTTGTCTGTCACGCATCACGCGAAAACCACTGAACATATTTTGATAAAATTTGGTATGATAATAGCTGGTTAACTGGGTCAAGATATAGGATACTTTTTATTGCGGTAAAATATCTCATTTTTGAGAAATCTATACTATCCTTTTAAATGTACGAAGGGACGAACCCGAGCGGAGCGAGGGTGACTCGCTATTATGTAATAAATGCTTATGCTTTTGTCACCAGACTTTCATATTTCAAACTTACATTCTGAACTAAAACTGCTTTACATTATTTAAAATTTTGATTTCTATGAGTTATATTCGAACCGAGAAACCGACAAAATTTTCTTACTATTTATAGAAAGTAAGCCTCACATTCCTAATTAAAATTCCGAAAGAAAAATTATTTTCAAGATAGTAAAGAAGTCATCGTGGTTAGCATCCAAATGGACAGGTGCGTTTCTAAGCCACACGGATGTGACACGAATGAATGTGCCATTGTTTTCTTGAAACTCACTTTCCACCATTTTCTATACTATATGTTACGAGTATTTATTCTAATAGAGTAAGAGATAGTGGAAGATTGATTGGAAGATGAGGCGAGCAGACTCTTTAATTAGCTTTTTGGGGTTCGGTGGAAGAGAAAATTTAGGCTTTCATAAAAATAATAATAATAAATATGTTGGGACATTAATATACAGTACCATCTAGTTCTATGGTAAACTACGAGGCTTGTGTTATGGATACCAGATAGTTGATACACTACACATATATAACTTCAAATACATGCATATAATAAATATAAACACCAATAACTGGAGTACAAGCATTTCATGCTTATCACACAAATGAATGCCCCCCGCGGGACTCGAACCCACGACCCCTGGTCCAGGGATAAGTTAAATTGTCATGGAAGTTCTATGATCACATTAATATTATTAGGTGTTGTAGGTAAAGTGATTCTGACCAAGAAATACTTATATAGATTAATAGGGAAAAAGCTTTGCCTCGAATTATTTTATTAACAAATAAAACTAGTATTAAACTATCCAGTTATATATAAAATCAATAATTGAACTCCCAAAAGGATCAAAAATGTAATAGATTTTAGTATAAGAGTATAACTTAAAGCTTTTTATTTATAAGTTTTTTATGTTTACAATACCTAATATTACCTTTATATCATTTAATATGTCATTTGATTATCATTAAACGTATTTGTTAATTTGAGCTAATGTTATCAAAAATAGGTTAGTAATAAAATCATGAAAAAAACGACTTCAGAAAAACACTAAAAAGTAAGAAATAACTGATTGGTAATTTTCATTTTCTACAGATACCTAATCCAAAGTATCAACAAAAGTATCTAATATTAGGCGTTGAAGAGTTCCACCTATTCACCTTCTGATCTATCAGATCAGGTCGACGATAACGAACTATTGCACTATCAATGGAAATAGAAACACTTGCAAAATTAAAGTCAATATGAAAATTAGAAGTTGGTAAAATTTTCATTAGTTATTTTTCCCCCCTTAGGGGTGGTAATTTTTTTTAGATTTGAATAGGAGCAAATTAAAAATACCTTTACAATTTCAAACAAAATAAAAATTGTCCGGTTAATAAATAACGGAGTTTTGAGGTAGCAAACATAAAAAAATACAGCCAAATTGAGAACCTCTTCCTTTTTGATGTCGGTAGTAAATTATTTTTTAATAATTATATTAAAGTTAATTCAAGCTTAATTAATTTATTAAATTTCTTTTATTAAAGCTTAATTAATTTATTAAAATTAATTAAGCTTTAGGCTTAAAAATCGCATAAATACAATATAAATATATATAAATAGAATATTCTTTATACCTACATACTCGTATGTAGGTTATAAAGAACATAGGATAAATAATATTTTTATGATATTGTACAAGTTTGATATAAATTCAGCTATTTATACAGAGTAAAAAATGTCGGTCAAGTCTATAAATGATTCATGCTATTATAGTTCCTTATCCGTAGAAGTAGATCGTTGATCTCTAAACGTTATCAATTAATGAGAAACGTTATTCCGTTCTAAAATTTTTATTATACCCCTATAATAATATTTATTTGTAATTTTTCTCCTTATACCATTTTGATGACATTTATCGATGTATGTAAGTAGTTGCTGTTATCGAGATCCACATTTTTGTTTAAATTTTCGGCCTACCCTGTTTGGCCGCCCTGCCTGTATTTATATGAATATATTTTTGGAAAAGCTTATCTTAATTATATGGTTATCTTTTTTTTTTGAAAAGTTTCGTATTGGTAAATTTATTCACTTACCAGGTTCTTCATCATCTTTAATTTCATTTTCTTCATCGAGTGATCTTTCAAAGCCATTTTCTTTGCTGCCAGTGAGGTAGATAGTATTCGCTTCTTCACTATACTTGTTTATATCTACATTGTTTTTTTTAAAGCACACACCACTAGATACACTTAAATCACCATTAAATCCTAAACTGTCATCCAAATACGTGTAAAAGTTCTTTTGTAAACAACTCACGGATGGTTTTAATGTACACTTATTTAATATATTGTCCCATAAACTGTTACCGGTTCTAAATGTTCCGTTTTGGTAAACATGATTCATAAATCCTCTGCCTGTAACTGCTTCTACGATTCTTAGTCTCTCAGGTATTTCACTTTCGATTCTTTTAACTTCTTCATCCGTTTCATTGTGACTACATTCAACTATAATAGCACTTGTAAATAGTATTATAACTAATAATCGTCCTATATTTGGGATCAATGACTGTGGATGTATTGCGAATCCTGCGCAGATACCATAACGATATCTTCGAGCCATTGTCAGATCATTACTAATATAAACTATGCGTTAGTTTGATTTAAATAACTGTTCAAAAACACAGTGCATTACTGTGCCTAGTTGGGCGTAGGCTCATTAATTCCATTTTCTCCGGCTTCTTTTTTGAAAGTGTGTCACGTCTTCCTTGTCAATGTCTTGTTAGATTTGGAAATTATTTTTGTTGCTGCCGTTTCATCTGAAAAGAGAAAACATGTGATTATGTATCTACATACAACTTTAACATTTTCTACACAACAATAGAGTAATATTGCTCTGAATTTGATGTTTTTTTTTAAATTTTATGACTTTGTATTGTAGAGCTATAACAAAGGTCGCAGTGATAATTTAAAAGATCTTGAAGATGTCGTGAACGACTTACACACATTTTAGTAAAATGAAATAATGGAAGCCTTATTATTTGAATTGAATATAGGCAAGCTTAAGATTACACTTAGTTTTTATCTAGTTTAAGTCAGGTCAGACAGGTTGCACGACATACTTAAAAGCCGCTCTTATAAAGTACCCTTCCTTATAGAATAACTACTAGTTGCCGCTTACATGTTCTAAAAATTAAAAGTCAATAAAAACTTGCCTAACGCATAATTAATAGTAGCGTTAATTAATTTATGTGTTTGTTTCAGAAAAGAGTACCTAAATAATTATCTATCAGACTGCAAGTGTTTTTGAATATATTGGTGAAATTGATGATGATATAATATCATCACCGTAAATATCACCATCAAACATATATCATGCTTATCAAATGCAGAACAATACAATTTGATGTCTGCCAAATAACAGTAAAAAACACATCAAAATCGGTCAAGCCATTTAGGAGGAGAAAAATTATGAACACTGCATATGTACTGGAATGTTAAATAAAAAGATAAATAACTCGAATCACTGAGATAGGTGTAAGATGAATCCCAGATTTCATATTTGATATAATATGATTAACTGGATACAGCTATCAAATAACTCTTCCTGAGAATGTAACACCAATTATTATTCAATATAAATCAATTATCTCAAACACTGGAATCTGAAACGGCCGATCCGTTACGCTTTCCTCGCACGTGCTGTCTGTGAAATAAAACGAATTGGCACGAATTGGCAAGAAATGGTAAATTGCGTAGTTTTTATTTATTTTATGTTTACCTTACTTTATATATATTTGACACTTTATTACATATATTTATTTTTATATTTCTACATATAATGGTTAAACCATCACTTTCTTTCTCAGTATATGCCTCATTACTCTGGAACAAACTCCCTAAATACATCCAAAAAAGCCCCTCCATAACTTCTTTTAAAAAAAATTTAAAACAGTACCTTCTGTCACAAATTTGTCCTTAATTTTATTATCTGATCCTCTATTTTTATTTATTCCAAATGCATACGATTATATTTATACTTTAATATGTATGTATATATGTATGTATATGTGTAAATAGTATGTATAATATGTATGTAAGTTATTGTATATTTATCATTATATGGTTTTTTTATCTTATTTAGTTGTATAATTATTTGTAATTTTATCATACATCAATTGCACTCTTTTAGTCCCGTCATATAACACTATTTCTCACTTCCATAGGTTGGCTGGAAGAGATCTCTTCTAGAGATAAGTCCACCTTTGTCCACATTGGTCTCTGTATTATCTGTGTTACTCTGTTAATATGCAATAAAGAATATATATACTTGTAGAAGGTGAATCTTATAATTTATCAATCTATTGATCCCTAGGATTGATCAGCGGCATCTTTTTATGATATAAGTAATGTTACGTCGGTACAAAACATTTGAATGCCCACTTAAAAGCCATTCTCTAAACTTCTAACTCTTTGAAATCTTCATACAAAACATTGTTTCGGTTTGTACGTGTATGTATATAACTCATTTACGCTGCATAGCTACACACGGTGAAATTTATATACTGTTACTAATTAAACTTGCCAAAAGGTGTGTATCTAATATTATGAATACAAAAATCGTTAGTATCTACACTATTATTATAAAGAGGAAAGATTTGTAATTTTGTATGTTTGTATCGGATAAATTCAAAAACTACTGGACTGATTTAGATAACATTTGGTAAGAAGATAGTTTGAGGCCCTGGGAAGGACATAGAATAGTTTTTATTTAGGAAATCATCCTTAAATGGGGTGAAAATGGGGATGAAAGTTTGTATAAGGAAACAACGTAAGGACGAACCTGAGCAAAGCGAGGGTGAGTCGCTAGTTTCCAATATAACCAATGATACATCTGGATAAAAACTTAAATTCTTGATTTAATAGAAAACAAAATATTAATTTTTATATAATTTACTAAATATTATTTTACCTTTTATTTCATAATCATATCCAGTTATTTTATAGGTATTATACAATATACATATATATATAATTAATTACTCTCTTATTCGACTTTTGATTTCAAGAGCAAACGCATTCTAGTGAAATTCTTGTTCACGTTCGATGATTTCCAGTTATTAGAATAAAATGAAAAAATGAGATACGGTTAGCTAGACGAGATGTGTGAATCTTTACATATAAGGAATATGATGTGAACAAGTGTCTTTGTTTACTTATATCTATAGGTACCTAGTGGCAGTAACGGCGTTGTGTTTTACTCGTTCTTTTGTTATAGTTTAATAAGCTATTAAAATAGTTTACCTACTGCTATTGAAACGTGCGTACACATTCAGGTGGTTATATGGGACTTATCGGATAAGAAATTAGTACTACCCACTAAAACCCAACGGAACTTGCCCTGTATTAATGGGGCGTCGCAGGATCAAACTTAAAAGGCACTTACATCAAGTTTAGGACATCTACCTCGATAATCTATCTCCTACACGCTCTCTTCGAGCATTCTCTTCGACAGTAGCTTTTATTAAGGACTAGCGACTCACCCTCGCTCCCTTCAGATTCGTCCCTAGTTACGTTTTAACCTTTAGTATAGATTTCTCAGAGATGAGATTTTTTCTCGCAGTTAAAAGTATCCTATATCTTGACTAGGATAACCAGCTTCATCAAAATCTGTCCAGTGGTTTTCTCATGATGCCTAAATGAACACAGACATACAGACAGGCAAAAATTCTAAAAACTATAGATTAGGTCTCTATGTCGATAATAATGACTATTTCAATAAGACTTTCCAAAAAATATTTAATTTACAGATTCGACTCAGTTAGAATTTTATTATATGTATAGATATTGTATTGTATTTTACTGTAGGTACATACAGAAATTTCAACGATTTAAAAGAATTTCTTTGCCATTTACTTGAGCGATAATGAAGTAGCGATGTCTAAAGTAGGAGAAAGTGTGCGTTGGACACTCATCTGCTCTATACATCGTGTAATGAGTTTAATATATCGACTATTGCAAGGAATAATATTGTAAATCAGTATTGTAGAAGTTTTTAATTTGAACATTAAAACTAATATGAGCAATTCATTTCCATTTTCATTTTAACTTAATACTCAGTTATATCATTGTTCTTTCAGTATTAGACATTATCAAATAATTAACTACGTAATGTAGTAAAACACCAAACAAAGGCGTCACGTAGGCGGTAATTAAATTACAAAAGCATGGTATGAAAGTTACGTTACACGCTTACATCGTAAAGAGCTTTCTTTGTAAAGCATAATATTATAATTAAGCGTAATATTCTATTATACAAAGGAGAAAATTACTGTTATACTGAGAGTAAAATTTGCTTTAAATAATTAATTGGGTTAAATAAAATGAATGATTAAATGTTAGAATAAGAGCTTTTGCATTACATATTTTAATGGAAATACTTATTAAGAAATAAAATATTGTATTTAATTTAGAAATTTCTTTCTAATGGCTTTAAACGTGCTAAAGTCACGTAGAATGGAGAAAACTTAGAATAAATGACTAATATACATAGACGTAGTGTAATAGAACTAAACACAAAGTCAAATAAGACTGTCAATGTGGGTATGTGTGCGTGCTTCTCGAACTTCTATGTATAGATACAGACATTTGTGTGAGTAAATAAGACTAGCGACCCACCCTCGCTCCACTCGGGTCCGTCCCTATGTTTTAAGAGGATTGTGAACCTGTAAATTTTCATACAAAAAGCGATAACGTTTTTCCCCCCTTAAACATAGTCTAATTTTCATAATTTTTGGAAATGTTGTAGATATAATCAAAATCTAGGTCCGTACGTTTTTATTTTTTTGAAATATTGCGTACGACAGAAGTTATTAGCATCTAAATATCTATATTTTTGACCTAAAAACTTCCTCCAGCGTTTTTATTTTTTTAAATTAAACTAAACTGAATTACAAAAAAAGGAAAACGTACAGACCTAGATTAAGGTGTACTGAATCTAATGAGACCAAAATCGTCTCATTTCGTTAATGTTTAGGGGGGTGAAAACGTTATCGCCCGAAACAATATTTCAAAAAGGAAATGTAGGTAATTGAGTCTAAGACTTGCAACTCTCTCTATCGCACCATACGGGTCGGGGGCAGGGGCATATTTTAGACTGTAGTGATGTTGAAGGTGCTATCGATATTATTATCTCCTAGGGAGGAGAAGGTAATATCGATATATCGATCGATACTGAAAGGATTCAATCCAAAGTTTAGAATTTTATTATACTCGTATGTATAGATTGTAACTAAGCCGTATCTGTACATTAAATATTTTTTGGAAAATATTATTGAAATAAACATTATTATCGATACAGAGGCCGAATCTATAGTTTTTTGAATTTTTGTCTGTCTGTCTGTATGTCTGTCTGTCTGTTACCACGTCACAGAAAAACCACTGGAGAGATTTTGATGAAATTTGGTGTGGTGGTAGCTGGTGGTGGTATCCGGATCAACATATAGGATTACTGCGGGAAAATATCTCATTTCTGAGAAAAAATACAAAACTGCAATGTACGAATATACTAATATGTAAAACCTACGAATTTGTTTTTGGTCATATGAACGCGGGCGGAGCCGC